AGGAAGAGGGCGCACTCTGAGCTCGCCTGCCGGAAATCCTTTGGGGGCGACTCTTTTGTTTAGAAACTAGAGAGTCTCCTTTTGAGCTATCCGAACAGATGGTAGATAGGGCATAATACGTAACGGCGTCGTTTCAAGCCTTGATTTAATGAAGGGCGGTGGGCATAGGATGTGGCGCAGGATATGTGGTAGATGTTCTACATCCCACACATCTTCCCCACATCCTATCCACTTTTCTGCACCCTGGAGCTCCTTCACCCTTGGCCTCGGCAGAGGTGTCCATTCTCCTGGTCCAGGACCGTTTCTTTGGAGCATGGCAGGCCGAAATGTGAAAGCATCTTCGGTTTCCGTACGCATTGAACCTTTAAAACATTTAAACCGATACTTATCAAGGCGATACACCCTGGAATACACCTGGAGGCAGCGCGGCAACTAAACATACACCTGGTGTCAGCGCGGCCGACAATATGCCACCATTTTCGCACCTCGTCGGGCATTGTGACAACTATGTACGCCATGCCACGTCAATTACATTTGTTTTTTTCGCACATGCCGAGTTCTTCCTAATTTTTTTTTGTGTTCATTCTGTAGGCAATACATCATCAACGTTACCAAAAACTACGCGGCTCGGAGATCGGCCAAATATTCTTGAGTTTGGCAGAGGTTTTCGGACTTACGAAAATATCTTTTCACTTTATTTTTCATTTTCTTTTCATCAACGTAAACCCATAGATGGAAAAGATTAATGAGAGTGAGCACAGACCTATTCGCGTGGCTAGATATGTTTCCACTGAAGCAACCACGATTGAAATCATTTTGGAGCCACTAAAGCGAAAGTAAGTAAAATTGGCCATAAGACGTCATTTTGGTCGAACATCCATTCCTGTAACTTCCAATAAGTTGAATACATTGGACAATAATGGAAACATTCTCTTGCAATACAAATTTTCGTATTTTCAAGCTGAAATCCACAGTTATGTGGTGATGTGGCGGTGGCGCCTGCAAAATCGCGCCAGGCAAAAAAATGCCAAAACGCGCGATGTAACTTAACGACGCGACTCGACAACGGGTTAACTTGGTCGATTGTGTGTCATAAGCGCTCTCATCTTTTGTATTAGAGAGACAATGGAGTGCCCCTCCTCCCAAGGATCCGAAATGAGTGCGTGGCTTATTTGAGGCGCACACACTAATCCGATTCAGAATGGGTGACGTGAACGCGTAGTTGGTTCGTACGATTGCTGTGCCGAAGTCACTGGGGCCACAAGTACATTCTGTAGTTAGGAACGTAGACCTCAACCAATAACTGCTCCAACGCGTGGTGAGCTTAGTGACCCGAGGTTGCGAATTCCAGATTACGAATTTTTCGACGGGATCACCTCTCTACTGCACAGTTCATCTCAGCGTCACAAGAAAAGTTCAAGCCCCTCCCAGTTTTGAACAAAGGTATCCGTGTATTTTTCAGTACGACATTTCAGATTGCGGCTGTTAGCTGTGGGAACTGGAGCAGGGCTGTACACAGCATGGAATTTGCGAAGAGTGCGATGTGAAGCTCTTATGGAAAATCCGTGGCTGCTGACTCCAAATGTGGTCAGTTACTTTCTGAAGTTCGCGTGTGAGAAAGGCAGAGTGTGGGTGAACTTATTGCGGATAACTTGAGCTGCCGCCTATAGCGCCGAAATACGAATTTTGGAGATGGATACCCAGGGGATTAGGTAGTATTAGAATGCTGATTTCGGGTGCTGTTGTGTACCATCATATTTCTAAAAGCTCCTTGCCGACAAACAACAATTCTAAGTGGATTACGGGAATTTTTTAAAATTTGATTAGTTGAGTACTATGTAGTCTTGCCAGGCCCTTAGTTGTTACAAACAGTTGCAATTAATGTAATAAAAGTGGAGAGTACGCGTTTCGACGCTATTGATGACGGACAGATAAATGGCTCATTGTTGGGAGTTTATGTATGTTGCAACGTGGCGAGCGTTTGCGTTGCGTCGAAACAATAAAATATTCCCTACGCAACGCCTGCCGCGCTGCACGACATTTCCGTTGTTAGCGACTTCATATTTATTTGTTACGTTTTCCTTATGCGAGTTTCGTATGAATTCCTAACATTTTGGTTTCTTCTAGCCAGACTCACTAGATAAATCCGGCCAGGTTGGTAGTTACCATTCTTGTTGTTGTGGAGTGTCTATGTGTATGTTTTGTTGTTTGTTTGCTGTTTTTTCTCACCTACTAACCATAACTGATCTTCTTGCAAGGGAATGGGTCAGGTCATGAAGGTTGCGGCGACGCGCAGGAAGCGGTCACCGTACGTCATAGTCGGCGACGACCAAGCGATGGCAGCGAGCGGCGATTCTTTTCCCACCTCCTCGCTTGGTCCGTCGCGACTATGACGGCGTCTCACCGTACGCGGCAGTTCTGAGGTAGATGTATCGATACAGAGCTCAACTGTACTGTTTTGGCGCAAAAATAAAAAGATGGTGTGTGCGCGACGCCGCATTCGAAGTCGCGATCACCGCGTTGCCGCAATCCTTATGTCCTGTCTCATACCTTGCAAAAGTAGCAGTTACCGACAAGACCTGGGCGAAATTTGCTCATGCAAATTGTGGGATTTTTGGGGGAATGGCAATTTCTGAACAGTCATTGAACTGCTCGGTTTCTTTGCTGTATTAATACAAATGAAACCTCGAAGAAGTCTTCTAATTGTTTTATGGAAAACAACTACACTCAACCTAAAGGCATGACTGCGATGGCTGGAGGGCGATGGTTTTGATGGCGTCATTCAAGGCATTCGTGAGGAGGGCGGGTTCATCCACCCTTCCCTCCCCGCCCCCTCGCCCCTGCGATGAAAGGTCGATTCACAATGAGGGGTACCCGACAGGTAGAGAAGTATAAGGTCAGAGTCGCAGCGTAGCGATTTGGCGCCAAGTTGAATGGAATGTGTTATAATACGTCCCTGCCTCGCATGAGTACATGACGCTGTGAGTCGTCTCGGGGACCGTCCACCTGCTGTCCTGTTCGCCGCGGAGGGCACTCTTCCTCTCCGATAACTCCACTGAGGTTATGGCCTGACAAAAACCCTCCAGTCATCGTGAATCACGAATTCTTTCAATTAGACCGTGCGGATAAAAGCGTTCACTTAACAAAAGACACTCTTAAGTTGTGGCGGCCAAAGGTGACGAGGCTAAAGCGCCTTGGCTGTTTGTGAGGGAGGATTAGGATTACGTTGGGCCTCGGTCAACATGTCGAAGGGCTCTTTCGAAGGGATTGTAACACAGAGAATTTTATGCGAAGAGTTTATTGGCTGTCCTTTTTAGCTGGAGTGTACCACTCTTCCCCTTCTTCCCTGAAAAGAATTTTTCGCTCTGGGCAAGTGAAGGTTGAATATGAGCTAAAGGTGAACGAGACACGAGGAATAAGGAGGCAGGTAATGGAGTAGGGAGGAAGTACTTTGTTCGAGATGTTCTCGCCACTATGTATGACCCTGGATCTAGAAGAGGAATCGTAATGCTTGCTTTAACATTTCTCCTAAAATGTCAACCCTTTACTGCTTGCAGAATCCCATACTCGAGAAACGCTCAATCATCATCAAGCTGATTTATATACCGTGGTACTTGTTGTGCGGCACTTGGATTTTCTTGAGAAGGATCACGAGGTGAGAGGATTCTTAGCATCCCCATAGACTAACCAGGAAAGGCATCCAACTTTCCATGGAACTTTGAATTGAAGACCCACATATATGGATGAGAGCTTTAAACGCTGATTACAAACATGGAAAGCTAAAACTGCAAAATGAACCTGCCTAGGAAGTTGTGAGCAGTCAAAGTTGGCTCCAAGTTAAGCGTCTACGTATTGGGGCTAGCCGCCGAGCTTCCAAGTCGCGTGGAGTAGTGGGCGAGTGCCTCTCAAAATCTGCACCGCCAACAGGCAAGAAAACTTTATGGACCTCCCGGGATGGAAGCAGCAGGGGTACTTATCGCCTACTCCGCGACGACATTTGAAAGCCTGGAACATAGCACGGTTCATACGTGTAGTGCTTTACTTCCAGCTAACTTTGACTGCTCACAACTTCCTTGGCAGGTTCATTTTGCAGTTTTAGCTTCCATATTTGTAATCAGCGTTTGAAGCTCTGCCGATATGTCTGGGTCTCAATTCAAAGTTCCATGGGAAGTTGAATGCCTTTCCTGAGAGGTGGGTTTTATTTACCTAAAAGATCTGATCACCTCTTTCGTCGAAGGCTGGAAGTGCGCTATGTGGCCAAGGAAGACTGGTCACAGCAACTTCTGTTGCCATGTGCAATTGGGGAGAAATGAGCATTTCACCTCGGGTTCACGTTCTTATCCTTTTTTGAAGCTAATCTGTCTGATTGCAGATGTCTGGGCTTGGCAATCCGTTTCGTGCCGTTAGCGGTTACATATCCATTAGCTAGCCGAGTGGACGGCTTTACATGAGTTTTGGTGGTCGTGTGTTTTGTATGCAATTCAGGTTAGACTTTTCTATCAATTTTTTATTGAGCTTTAGATTTTTCACTTCTCCGGTTACTGTTCTTTTCGTGTTTTTTTTTTTAAATGATAGATCAAAATGAGATTGACGTTTTAGAGCAGTGGCCCAACATTTATCAAGTTGGGACAATGGGCCAGCACGAGGCGAGACATCTTCAGCAAGGAGTTTTGTGATCGAGTAGGTTTTGAAGCCTTTCTTATTTGGTCAAACGTTTCCTTTCATTTTCAGCCGTCTTTGCGAATCAGGGCCCCTTTTTGGTCACTTCTCTTTAAAATCTTTTTGATGATATTTAACGCTGTTCCAATTTCTATGAAAGGCCAGTTTGGGGCTGCAGTATGTGCAAACCAAATGAGTGGTTACGAGGCTGCTTGGTGGTTGTACGCGCGTCAGTCTGCCAAGCTGGCCTTTAGCACCAACGCGTTTAGTTTTCACGTAATTTGTCCCTGATTTGTGGATGCTGTAAACTAAGAGGGTTTGCTCGAGAAACATATTTATAGATGTCAATTTTGCACACGAAGACAAAACGAAAACGTTACTTCCGTGACTGTGACCAAGTACTGGACGAAGTGTTTGGAGAAGGATTTGCTAAGAACCATAAAAATGAAGTATTTGTGCGAATGGAGCCGTATTCGATTGGGTCTGGTTGCATTGCTCAGGTGTGGTTTGTTCTTCCTATCGTTTTGTTCATTCACGAAATTTCTCTGACAAATAAACTTGTAGTAGAAATTTTTTGGCAAGATTCCGCTTTTTGTATTTTTCCCCCTTATTTTTTCTTCGTTGCAGGTTTACAAAGCTACAGTAAATGTCGCGGCCTTGGAGCGAGTGACTGGAAAGAAATTCCCTCAGTTTGACGGTTTTGAGGAAAGAGAAGTGGCGATCAAGGTAAATAATGCGATAGTTGTGTAGTGATATGGATAAGGGGCATTGGATAAAATAAATATCGATTGTACGCCTTCGCATCCGTACGTTCCTATTCGAGTAAGGAAACACTGCTGTTTTCAGGTCGCAGATTACGGTGTTGATGACAAAATCAATTTGGATTTGTCAATTTTGCGAAATGCAACAAGTTTGGTACTCACGGTATGTAATGATTGCTATTTTTTCCCTCGTTTATAAATGATTCTTATTTCTATCAATTTTGATTTTCATATTTTTTTCTGAGTGGGAAGGTGAGCCTAGAATTGAAACACTAAGTGAATTTGTGGTCGAAGCGTACGTGAGATCGTGTACAGTCACTTTTCTGTTTTGTTCCGAATTCCGATTTGACGTTTTGGTTTTCATCTTCCAAGTTCTGCTGGTTTGGGCGCGTAATCACTCCAAATTTTTTGCATTTTTCGAAAATATGTGGGTCCTTTGTGAGCACTTGACAGAAATCCTGAGATCGACTGTTTCAAAGGCGACCCAGAAGCACCTACACACTGCTTGCGTACCTCAAATCTCTTATTTTTAGTTGATGCCGTCTCTCAGCTACTTAGAACCCCTATCGGCCCTGGCACAATTCGAAATGGTTCTACGTCGTCAAGTTGATTTGAGGAATGAGGCGCGAGCATTACAAGTGAGTACTCCGTGGTGTTTTTTCTATTTATTTATTTATTTATTTATTTATTTATTTATTTATTTATTTATTTATTTGCGCGCCCTAATGACGCACTCCTACACACAGGACAGGGAAGGTAAACACTAAGCCATTAGAATAATTACTAAATAGAAAAACAAACAAGAAGATCGGAGTTATACCTCAAACAAACCACCAAAGAAATGTAAAATTTCATTATGTCTGCTGATGAGATTACCATTTTTTCGAAATTTCTGAATTTCGATCATAAAAAGACGGGTGTGAAATTTCCGACTGTGATTGGCTACACGAAAAACATCATAGTGGAGAGCTTTGAGCATGGAATGTATATCAATCGATTGGTTGCAGAAGATAAAGACCCAGAGGTGACAGCTATCAGTCATTGTTTCAGCTCCGACTAGGATTTTCAAAGAAAAAGTCATTTTTAAACGAACGAAATTTATTTCATTGGCTACACGCCAAGCGCCTAAGGTGCCCGCCCACGCATTGATTGCTTTGCTTGGTGCACGTGCTCTTCTCAAAATGATATTTGTCGATAACTTCGTGCATGGAGATTTGCATCCAGGAAATATTTTGATACGGTAAGGCCTGGCAATTCAATCGTGGTTCAGTATTGTTCATGGATGTCTATGCATGGCTCACAGTGAACAGTGTGGCTTTAATGATCACAATTTCAGTTTCAACGAGGACGATCAGGGTTTGCCTGGAGTACACAGTGCACCACCGAAGGAGACAATAGTGGAACACGCGGTAGGGTTTTTTTTTGTTATCGCGCATGGGGTTACGGAAGAAAATTTGGCGGATATTGACGTGGTAACGTAGCTTTACCATGCTTACTAAGCTGATTATTTTGGAACTTAAGACCCTGCGTTTTTTCCCAAAGGAGTTGCCCAAAAGGCGGACAGGAGTTGTCGCATTTCCTTCAGACAGTTCAAGGAATCGACACTGAGTGTTCATGCGGAAATCTCCCATTTTCCTGCGTCCCTCAATTGCGTGCATGTTAGTATGTTTTCGGAAAGGGCAGTCTCTTAAAGGCAAAAACAAAGTGGTTGGGATGCGGGGCACTTCAAAAGCGTCATTGGTTTGAAGGAGTTGGTAGGCATTCGGATTCCTCTCTTTCCAACGCGCTTAGGAGGGCATTTCCCGACGCCAATCCACTAACAATTTCTCTAAGTTCGCTTCGTCTCCTAGCCAGTATTAATACTAGCCATGCTCAGTGCCTTCATTCTCTATGAGAGGCGACAATCGCTGGCTCAACGTTTTTTGAAAAGAGAAGTGCATGGCGCATTGCGATGAAAGATTAAACCTATGCTTTCAGCTCTTATTTTTCGTTTTCATTTAAGTGAAACACTTTTTTGAGCGAAGATTCTCTTTAGTTGGAACGAATACGAGATTGGCTTGGATGGCGATCGTCGCCACGAATCCGATTCACAGACTCTCCAGAACTAGCTGACGAACCGACATTAGTAATGCTCGACACTGGAATTGTTGTGTCTGAAACAGAGAAGAACTTGCGGAATTTGAAAGCGCTTTTCCGAGCAATATTACAGAAACAGGTTTGCTTTAACTTCACTGTAAATAGATGAATATTTATTCCTGCTGAAACTTAAGTTCTACTTGGTTTTTATTTCTCTTTCTATATTTCGGTCCTTGTGCGGTAACGTTTGCTTGGCGAGCTGAAGCAAATTACAACAGTTCGGAAAATAAGGACAAATTCAAAATTAGAGTCCCTAAAATAGCTGCTTGTTTAGGGCTACAAGGCCGGCGAATTACTTCTCAAGCATGCCGAGAATAGCCGTAATTGTCGTGATCCGCATGAATTTTGTCTACAAGTCGAACGACTTGTGACAAAGGCAATGAAGGAACGATCTTTGAGATCAGTGAGTTTTTTCTTTATCTTTCATTTAGTCGCCGAGACCAAAAAAAAAACAGGGAAAAACGACCACAAGCCAACATGTGGAACCACATTAAGTAAAAAATACGTGATTTGCTTTTATCTTTTATTTTTCCATTCAACATCTCTTTTTTTGATACCCTAACCTATTACTGTTCTGGTATAAGTTACACTGTAAGGACCTTACTGTTGCCCTTCGTGTGAGCAGTTTTGATGGTTTTGGAGCTCTTATTTTTTGATGTATCTAATACATAATGTTGGAGGGGAGAAGAAATACGTCACAAGTGTGGGTTGGTTTTACTCCCCGGTTCTTACATGATTCTCTCCCGCATTGTTTGTGTAAGGGAGATAGTTATCAAATGGCAGCGATTTTTTATGGGTTATAAAAGTGATGGGCAACAGATTTCTGAAGGATTTGCTAGATAAGTGACTGACACGAGAGGAATGTGTTTTTCTCGTTCTTTCAGATTTTCTGAGGCATGAATTATTGCTGTTAGTTTTTCAATTTTCTTTCTGCCTCCTTTTA